AAGAATTACAGATACAGGCCACGTTGGCTTCATTTTTAGCGACTTGGGTCAAAACTTTAAAAGATTTTTTTCTCAGGTTTCAAAGCACTTAGTTGAACTGAAATTGTATATACACGATTGCTTTGAATGACAATACGATACATTAATGATAATTAATAAAAATTAATTGCCACTTAATGTTGTGATGCTGTCATATGTATATACATATTTATATTAATTGTAACTATTTAATAAAAAGTAGCAAAAATCGTAGACACGCATACCATATGATTATGTGGTATGAGTATCAATTACACTCTGGGGCAAAATTAAATCATGGAAATATTTAGCATCGAACGAGAGCTTGAATTAAAATTAATTCAAGCGTCCAAGTTTGATAGCGATAGCCACCACTAGATGATGTCACAATGAAATGGTTCTCACATTTGGGGACTTGCAGTGTCTGCAAAAGCTTAGTTGCCAAAATGCGGCCCGTTAGGAAAAAAAGTTTTATTGTTAACGGCATAAGGAAAATGAGCGAAAATACAATTTAATGCCCAAACGCTGATTTTAAAAACTCAAAATTGAAATTCATTACATCGAAAAATGTGTGTGTTAAAGGAAACCTTTTATTCGAATTATAAATTCGTGTTAGATAACACAAACAAAAATAAATTTAATGAGCCAAATTTCTAAAATATTTTAATAAAAGCTTCATACATATTTTTCTTTTCCATTTTTCTATTGATAATGAATAACTAGCAAAAACAATTCTTCGTATGAAAGCAATTGAGACTTTACTCCGTTGAGACTCCACTCAAATGAGAATGTTGAAAGCTAATAGCACTTTCTCCCCATTCACCTCTTTGAATGCAAGCAGAAAGAATAAGATCAATCCTTACCAGAATATCGTCTTTGAATTTAAGAAAATTCGAATTTAGTATTCATTGATTTTGTTACTGTGTCGACTAGGCTTGTGGTTTCAATGTCTGTAAGTAACATTTCGACACCAATAGCTTTTTCTGTATTTGTTGAATTATGTTTACAAAGAAAGTTCAAAATAGGTAACATAATAAATGTTCGAGGCATTGTAAAGAATGGACAGTTGATTTCACTACAGATCCATAATACCGAAAAATGGTAACTGTTTTACGTGAAATCATGGAATCCAATGCTCTCTTGATGTAAAAATTAAAAGAGAGAGATACCAGTTCCCATAAGTTATCTTTATGACTGAACAATGTTTATATAAAAATTACGAGGTCCATCACCAGTTGCCTTCATAGAATGACATTAATTCACACAAACCAATTCAAATATTTTTATTCTGCTATCGAACTTCTAAGGTGTTTCGCTGTTGAGGTCGCTGTTAAGGTTGGATCACTCCAGTGAAAGGTTGCGTTAGACAACATTGGGATGCTCGTAGGTATGCACCTTGATAAGTAACTGTAAGTGTGAGAGAGTCCATAATCTGGAAGTTAGAGGAGAGAAAGTCAGTTGGAGTGTGCTGGGGCGTCGTAGAGTGTTGAAGCCAGTAAAAGTATCTCTCTAGCGTCTGGGAAGTTTTTTAGCGTATCGAGAGTTTCTGAGATTCTCCTTTTGATGTCTCTTTAAAGATCGAATACGCCAAGCCTTTCCAAGCTTAACGTGATGCAGAATCACTTCTGTTTGGTCATAGTCCTGGATTACTATACGGTTATAGTTCCTAGTCACTGCTCACGCGGTGGACTTTAAATCTGGAGATTGCCGTAGGAACTGCACCGGTTATCTCTGTGTCGGCTGCATAGAGGGATGTTAAGGTTGATTTTCCTTAGGACACATAAGCGTCGGTGTGTCCGGTTTCCGAGGGTAATCACGAGTCACGAGGGAAGGTATCCGTGATACTTTCCCTCGTGAAACTCTCTGACCGTTGAGACGTCTCTAGTTCCCTAACAGAAAATGGGTTCTTCGATGGAGACCACCGCAATTACAAGAAGTACAAATAAAAATGAAAGAAGGAAATAGGGGATAGTAATCCAGTATCCCCTTTAAGAGCGTTTCTTACAATATATTTGAAAATTAGAAATTCAGCACTATTCAGTTAAACTGTTGATCCGGTCATCCATGTCTATACAACAGTTTTTCATTTCTCCTATATATGTAAAAATATTTTAAATTTTATGCTCTTATGCAACAAATACTTGTGGATTATCTGGATTAAAAATAGTAATCAACTGAAATAATTGATTTTTTTTTAAGGAAGCTTTGTTAATACTTAAGAATGAATATATTATCAATAACCACACTTTCGCTTTGATTTTATATCAGAATTTTCCTTTCTGGAGTGGAATAATAATTAAAAAAAATATTTTAAAAAGTTGTTTTTTCTTAAAATACTTAAAAATTTTACGTTTGTTATTTTTCTGTAATGACAGGGCCTGAACTAATTGAAAACGACGTATTTATTTCTCTGTCATATTCGTTGCTGAATAATTTAATTGATTATTTACATACTTTTCTAAACTAAGTTTAAATTTTAATATATCTAATTAGACTAGTAAAGTTAAACTTATTCCAGCTCAATTTAATGTCTGCAGACGCTATAATATATTCAAGAAAAGTACAATTTTCATTCTGAAAATCATTTTAATTTTCTTAGGTTCAGTTAGTTTCATACACCAATTCGGCATTTTCACGAGAATATTAATTATTTACGTAACTGAAACCGCAATTTCCCATTAGCTACAGAGCAAATGAATTAATCAGCAGACTTGAGACATTTCTGAAGCAGTGTGGCTAGACGCTCTAATTATACATCTGAAATTATTTCTAACTGTAGGCTCTATTCCGTAAAGGAAAATAACACATGTTTGAAGTAAGAAAATGACTTTTCAAATGAAAACATTACGAATATATGCATGTAATAACGCCTTAAGGCATCCGACTATTTGAGACAACTTTTTTCTTTAAAAAAAATGGAGATATGGGGATTTTTGTGGGTTTTTAGATTTGTTTTAGAAATTTTAAGAAAAAATAAGCTAAAATTAAGAAGATAAAAAGAATCTATAATTAAAATGGGAAAAAATCGGTAAAAATGTACAAAATTAACATAAACGAGGCCTATTCTGTACTGAAGTTTATGAACACATTTTCAATTTTTAATTCTGATGTGCTGTATGTTACTCATTTTTAAATGACCTTCAGAATAAGAGATATTTAATTTTTACAATAACTAGAGCACATTATCTTAGTTATTATATGAAATTGCTTAAAAAGACAGAGTTATATTAACATAAGGGACTGTAGATTTTGTAATGAAACAGTTGTGGTGACCTGTAGCCACCCTTAACATTAATACCTTCCTGTTTATCTGAAAACCCGGCTAGATGTGTAGGAGGAACTAAATGATCCAAAGACATTATTCCAATTCAAACTGATTTATTGATTTTTATCTGTTAATAAGAACAGACACAACACAATTCTAATTAAGGTATATAACTATGGTAGTGTGCAGAGGTGAGAATATACAAGCGGGGAAAACACTGCAGTACCTCAACTGAATCTAAGATAGCTTAAACGCGCACATTTACAACTACGCCGCATACTGATAATCAGATTTTACTTAATCAAATTTACGGTACCTTGTTTCTTAATGCTGCAGATCCTTCACGGAGGATTTTAGGCACTCAAATTAGCTGGATGAATTGACGAAGACTCCACGCTCCTCAACAACTTAATTTCAATGCTTTTCAATCTTCGAATCCACTTCTCTTTGCGCACATCAAAAGTATCAACCTCGTTTAACTTGTCAACAACTACGTGTCGACTTCTCACTCTCTTCACTTTACTTAACTTGACTTCTCACTTCCCTCTCATTCAACTCGCGAAAACCGAATTTATATAATATTCCTTATTTACATAAATCACGTTTGGTATCTCGATGAAGGTTGGTTGAAATAAATATTTTTATTGAAAGAAAAAAAGAAGGATTTAGTATAAGCCGTATAGGTCCGTCACTCAGTGATCGATACATCTGAAGGTTAAAACACTTTTACTATTATACAAACATACACAAAAAATTTCAGTTAATTATTTTCAAAACTTTTTGAGGAATCGCGGGAACCGTTTGAGCATTTTTGAAAGAAAAAAACACATTTCGAGTAGAACGCTTTTTAAAGTAAAATATATCTCGCTTAAGTAAGGGTGACTAAAGACACCCAACAGTAATTTTATTTTGCATTCTAGCTTTAATATTTTATATTACTCTGAATCAAATTTAAAATAGATTACTAAGCTACGTTATTGATTTATAACAACTATGCGGTTGAAAGCAAAGCTCTGCTATTTCCCATCATTCAACATTGTCACGATTATCGTGATGCTATAAACAGTTACGTCACGAAAGCGAAGTCCGTGGAAATTGTGATGCAGTTGCAGAACTTAATTTTTACGCAGAGATAAATCAGTCGAAATCATTTATTATAAATCTTTATTCGAATATTGCTGCTTTTAGCTTACCATTAGACTTGTTATCAACAATTTATTCAATTAATGCTTTTTAAAGAGTTATTACTCGTTCTTTAATAAATAATGGAAAGATCTCAGAAAAATGTTACTTCTAAATATTAAATATTGAAGATGGACACATACACACACATAGTCATGATAAATATTATTTCATTGATAAAAGTTTAAACATTTCTATAGGGACGATTTTTTAAAAAAATAAATAAATAAAAGTAGTGTATGTAAAATGAAATCACTTTTTCAATTCCTACTATTTTAGTTCACTTTCTCCCTACATATATATATATATAAATATATATTTATATATTTTATTCAAATTTTCAATCGTAATAAAATACTTACTATTCATCTATTCAAGTTCAAATGCATTTTTTAAACTTGTAGTGGATGACACTTGATATTAATACATTTAATTCAAATATTAATTCATTAATTAAATTAAAAAATGAATAAATAGTAACAAACACAAAAATAATAGTCCAACAGTATATATAGAAAGGAAACGCATTTGTTGTGTTTCTGTAGCGCAATTGGTAGGGCGTTGGACTTCTCATCCAATAGTCGTGGGTTCCAATTCCACCTGGAATGGCCTAATTTCTAAGAATGTTGTTTCTTTTTTTACTATACTATTTTATTAGAATAATTAAATTTAATTAATGAAGAAATAGCAGCAAACAAGCCAAAAATAGTCCAACACCATATTTAAAATGGAAAATTGTAAGGAAAATCGCTATCTATTTTTGTCACTTAATGTGATTCTGTCACAATTTATATCAATTGTAACTATTTAATAAAAAGTAACTAAAATAAAATTTTCCTTTGTTGACCTAGGAGAAAATTGACTAAAATTTTTTTTCCTTATATTACTTGTTAATGTACATGATAAACATGCCTTTGATATAAACATAATTTTTTTTGTTTCAAAAAGTTAAATATAGAAAAAAACATGAAATGAGTGAAGAAAGCTCTATTAACGTCGTAATATAAATCAATTCGTGGACTATTGGTGACGGACCTCGTAATTTTGAACCATGGTCAAATGAAGAGGATGATACCTGAGTTTGCACCCCCTCTCTTAAATACCACGCCATTCTGAAGAAAGGGCTTTGAGCCTTGGCAGATTTAATATGTGTCGGCCCCCTCTCAGACGTACTACGGCTCGAGCCCACGACACGCCAAGCTCGAATTCATAACCATATCGTCAAGGGTACCGAAGGCAAAAATATGCAATGAATATATGTGTGATGACAGAATATAGCAGCGATTCCCAAACTGTGGGCCACGCCCTTCTAGGGAGCGTGATCACCCTACGTGGGAGGGGGTGAGCATATTGAAAAGTCGAAAATTATAAAGTTTATTTTTGAAAATTCTTAAAGAAAGCAAAACAAAAACTCAAAGTGCATTATTATTGCATTCAATGCATTGTTATTATATGGGGGGGGGGAGTGCGATAAAGATTATGATTGAAAATTGGGTCGCAAACATTGAAAGTTTAAGAAGCACCGGAATGTATGATTTTTCACATATGTATTTTTTTATGTACTTCTTTTTGCATTCTAATTATTTCACATCTTCAATTGCAAAACATGGTAACAAAATTATTTATTTTTTCCCTAATGAGCTACGGATTGGTGTTTTACCATTGCAGACCTAGTACATTCCCTTAAACTGGCATCTCTCTTTAGTTCGGCACCCTATATGTGGATACCAATTGCCGCATGTAATTTTGACGCGCAAGTTCCTCCACGAGGGGAGGCATCTGAGTTCTGACGATGCAAACCTGTACTAGGATTTTATTTTGCCGAGAGTCCCCAAGCCAAATAGACACTTAAGGATCTTTTACATGCCGTATAATTATACGACATGGCCGCTGTCGATTTTCTGCATCATGAAAATCCAACGACTTGGGCCGGGGTCGAACCCACAACCTTAGATGCAGAAAGCCAGCGACAAACCAACCACGCCATCTAGCGAACCCATGGAGATCAATATTAGTTTTTATACTTATAGAATTAATATATCAATGAGATTTTCCAAATTCAATGTCCTCTAATAGATTAAATAAGAAAATAGTTATTTAATTTTTTACTTTAGAATTAACCATTGCTCTAGACAGGAAAAAAAAACAGTAAAACATTTTAAACATAGTTCTTAACACTTTAAAATTTCACTCAACCTTATTCGTCAAGCAATTAAGAGTGATATATGACATAAAATAAAAATGGAAAAAAATGTATTAGAATTTTAAAAAAAAAACCGGAAGACGTATTTTAAAACTTTTCTATGTTGCTGAATACATTTTGCTAATGATATTCAAATATAATCCATTTGTCGAACTAAGTCATCGCGGAGTATATCTTACTTTCCCCATGGAATGATTTAAGTAAATGGATTTTGAATTATCTAGAAAAACATCTTGAAAATACTTAAAAAATGAAAATAGAGGTTAATCTACTTAGATCCTATTTTACATTTGGGATCTAAAAAAAAAATAAGCTCATTTCTTTTATTTTTGGAAAAAAGAATGTACTAATAATTGATGATGAGGTTGATTATATACGGAAGGAAAAAAATATATTTTATTTGACTTTATTTCTTTTAGGTGTATTTTGCTTAAAAGTAAACAGGGATAAAAAAGGGATTAAAAAATTTGTAGTTAAAAATAAACAGACCATAGTATACTCAAAGAAACTGTGTTTAAAAAAAATGCATAATTCTAATACGATTAATTTTCAGTAAATATTTTCGGTGTAAGAAATTATATATTAAAAATAAAATATTTAGGGAACGTATAAAAATATAAAACTTAAATATGCTGATTAATAGGTTTATTTTTATATAAAGAATAAAGTAATTGGCTGGGAATTTTCCTAGAAATAAGTGTCAAAATAATTAAAGCAGGCTGAGAGGGACATAACTTTGACAACTAATGAAGTTGCTGTGAAAGTTAGTTATAAATATAGTTTAAAAGCATCACACACAGCAATTATTAAACGATATATTCAAAACAAAAATACACCTGTCATAAAAATATATAATTTTAAATCTCTCCAAACACACAAACACACACTTTTTTTTATATATATGTAATAATTCACTTTAATTTCATCTTAAACTGCGTTTTAATTTGCAATGTCCTGACCCTTCAGAACTCGTGCTTAAATAATTAGCTGCAGGTTACCTGCCTAACGGGATATAATCGTAACTTTATCTCAGAAAAATTAAAACCTTAGCGTATTTAAAGTAAGATTACATAAAGCATCCTCGTACAATGTCTTTCCTCCAATCACAAGATCCGTCAGCGGAAGTCATGTGAATTTTGGAGCTTCCGGTTGTAGTTTGATATAAATATTCCCATTTTCATGGAGAATTTCCCCGCGCTGCTTGCTTTGTAATGAATGTTGCAACGTTAAATGTTGTCCAGTTTCTTTTATATGTGTGTGATCTTCAATAAATGGTGAGGTGGCCTCGGTATTCAAGTGGTCAAGGTATCGGATCATGGCTAGCATGTCATGAGTTCGCCGTGTAGGGGAGCGATGCACGTTAAATCTGTCGAGAGCTCAAACGTCCTCCCGTGGTGTGGTGTGGTAGTTAGGAGAGGGGTGCCAGCTCAGGTGTCGTCGGCGTCACTTGACCATGGTTCGAAAATACGCGGTCCGTCGCCAAAGCCCTCGTGTAGCTATACAGGTCGACATTAATATTCACTCACTCAATAAATGGTGAAGGCTACTTAAGATGATGTTTCCTTATACTAAACAATTCCTCATCACTACAACAACTGTTACAATCCCATCGTGCTTATATACATACATAAACAAAACATCCCACTCGCCTACCATTACATATGAAGTGGCACCAATCAGGAGGACAGAACCCTCAACCTCGGATCTGTAAGCACGTAAAATACCACTAGACCAAAATGATCACCTCAGTCGAGAGGCTGTCACTGGCTTATACAGATGATACCGTTACATTACTACCGCCACACATATATACTAATACAGTATAACAGTAAAGTTTAGCTATTGAATTCTCTTGACAGAGATTTCCTTTAATTCATTTTGGTTCAGAACCCTTCTGAACATCACGTGATGCTTATTCTTTTTATTTACTAGTTAAGTGCAACCAAAGTTCTTAGTGCCAAAAAGTGAAGATGGACCTTGTAATTTTGATCCTCGGTCAAGTGAAGAGAACCTCCCGTCTATCACCCCACTCTCCTAACTTCCTCACAACACCAACGTGAGAACTTTGAGCCACGACAGATTTTATGCGCATCACCTCCTTTACTCGGCGTTAAGTTGCATCAGGATTAGACCCCCGACTCAACAACGCCGTTTACGCGTCCGTGACAGTGACCACTAAGCTACCGCGGCCACACTTAAACATACAAGAAGATGCTAGTAGTGCAGAAATTTAAAATGTGTGGTACTTTTCCGTTTCGCTGGCGCAGGCGAAAATATCGCCAAAAACAGGTACAACCGACGCCAAACAGAATATTCCCGATGGTAACCTCTTACCACCACATTTTCAAAACAAGACGTGGTCTTTTCTTTGTCAGTAACATATTTTTCATATAATACATTAAAAATAGACAACAAACCAGCGAGAACAAGCAATTATATAATTTTTCATGGTTTTTTTTTTGTTTGTTGTCGCCAATAAAGCCTGCTTGGCTAGATTTTTGCCAACGAAACGGATTACCCAATATGGATATCAATTCAAATGAAAATTTTGTTATTTGACAAAAATTTTTTAACAGATAACGACATGTTTTAGGCGTGTTTGAAAAAGTTTTTAGAGCTGCAGAAAAAGAAACCTTTGAAAGTTCTGTCAAATGTTGAGGAAAAATGAAAGATTATTAAAAAATAATATTTTTAATTATCGATAAAGCATTGTTTTTTTTTAAAAAATGTATTTAAAATTTCAATTTTACGAAGATTGTTTGGGTGATAAACTGATGTATTACATTGTTTTGTTTGAAATATATTTTTTTCTCTTATTTCAAAGTTATTATGAAGTAAATAGTATCAGGAACTTTTTTAATTAGAATAAAAATAGTCAGTAAATCAAAAAAAAAAAATTGCTATACTTAAAAATGACGTATCAAATCATAACATAATCTAAAGCAAATAGAATTTAAAATGCCAAATAGTGCTGCATTATCAATCAAGATATTTGCTTTAATTAAACATTAAAGTTTCCCACGATCTGTTGATCTTGTGAGTATATTGAACTAGAAGAAAAAGCATAAAATTGCACACAAAAAAAAAGGAAAATATTTGAAAATGCACTAAAAAAGTAAATCCTTTCTGAAAGCACACTTTCTAATCTTAGGCAGTAAATATGATTAAGAAAGAAAAACATGACTTTATTTACGAACCTGTTTTCGTGAAATGAGATAAACCTATAGAAATATTATAACTGAATGCTGATGCAGTAAATATCAATCTTAAGTCAAGCGTTTGTACAGGTAGAATATCCTGTGGAAAATATCTGAGCCCTGATTGACAATAAATACGACGGAAGAGTATTATAAATAAAAGACTTTTTTAGGAATTCATTACATCAAAAAGGTATTTTTAGGTATT